AGCCCGGGGTCACCAACCAGTCGATCAGGATCTACCAGTCGATCTTGCAGCCTCTGGCAGGGGATCCTGACTGGTTTGGCCAAGAGGCTCTCAAGTGCCGGCACTTCAGCTACTCGTCCCCTCACTGCTGCACATCTCCTGCCCTTTGCCTGGGAGCTTCCCCCTGCCCCCGGGAGCCTCCTGCTTGTGGTACAGAGCAGGGAAGGGAGAGGAGGGGCGCTGATGTCAGGGTGCCCCCCTCCCACCCTGTATATCTCCACAGAATGAGGTGAGGGGGGACAACAGGGGCCTGGGATGGAGGGAGTTTGCTGGCTGCTTTTGGGAGTGGTGCAGGGCCAGGGCAGGGGTGAGCCTGCCTCATCCCCACTGCACCACCACCCAGGAGCCACCTGAGGTAAATAGTGTCCAGCTGGAGCCATCTCCAAACCCCTGCTCCAGTCATGTACCCCCCTCTACATCCCAAGGCCCTGCCATGGCCCACAGCCCCCCCAACCCAAACTCCCTTACAGAGCCTGCACCCTGAACCCCCTCCTGCACCAGCTACCTGCCCCAGGCTCAGCTCAGAGCCCCCTCACACTCCAGATCCCTTAGCCCAAGACCAGAGCCTGCGCCCCACGAAGGAGGCGGGGCCAGGGTATTTGGGTTTGAGGTAAATCCTGGATTGCACTTAAATTCAAAAAGTGATCTTGTGCTTAGAAAGGTTGGAGATCCCAGACGTAGATGGTATCGTGAGCTTTCGTGGGCACAGCCCACTGTTTCACATGACCAGAGTTTTGAGTTGGGTCTGCACATCCTAAACTCTCCAGTCACCTGAAGAAGTGGGCTGTACCCACGAAAGCTCATGATACCATCTACATGTTTTGTTAGTCTTTAAAGTGCTACCAGACCATTTGTTGTTTTTTTTAATTTATCCTGTAGAGACTAATTCGGCTACCCCCTGAAGCTTCCTTTCTTTATGTGTGACTATAATGTTCCCTATAAACTAGGAATGTAAAATCCCATGTAATTGGTTCACTGGTTAAATGTATGGTTTAAAGGGGAAGTTGGGTGGGGGGAGCTGGAGTGCCCCCCTTTCCCTGCTGCCACAGGCAGGGGCTGCACCGGCAGGGCTGGAGTAGCTCTTGTCCATGACAAACCTCCTCAGCGGTTGGAGGAAAAACAAAGCAGAGGTGTTCATGAATCTAGAAAGAGTGGCTATTTTTAAATATTAGTTTCTTGGCGGAGTGATGGATTTTAAAAACTCACATTTAAAGCCCAGGGGATTTTTTCCCACTGGTTTATACAGTTATAAATTGGGGTGCTCGAGTGTCTTTTTGAATGTGTGAGATCTTCTGAACTATGGAACTGAGTGAAAATATCGAGGGGATAGGTGCAAGTGGGGTAGGATCTGTTAGAAAAAAATCTACCCATGCAGATTAAGTTTCTGTCTTGGCCTTAAAAAGCAGTATGTGTTATTTCTTTTAATGTTAATCTTTGGTTGCAGTGTGAAGATTGCTCCTGGAGCTGTTGTCTGCGTGGAAAGTGAAATCAAGGGAGATGTAACTATTGGTAAGAGAGACTACGACATTTCTTCTTTTTCCATCTTCTTCCCCAGAAGCACTGTCCTTATTGAATTGAATTAGTTCTACTGAAAAGGGAAGGTAGCGTATGGAGCGCCAGGTCTCTGGAAGAGAATGAATACCAAGGATTTAGAGGCCGAATACCATATGTTCTCCAGTAAGTAATTTGATGGATTTGGCCTCTGTGGTGGTAATCTAGCCAGAAGTGAAAACTAGTATGTTAAATTCTGTCTTGATGTAAGTGCTGTTGGTATTTCCTTTGATGCAGTGAAGACCTCAGCAGTGACACATGTAGTCTGGCTCACCATGAAAAGCATTACACATTTTGTCACACAGCACCCCCTTGCAGTGCCCTCAGTCTGAGCTACTCATACCTTTCAAAGTTATGAATATATATCAGTGTAGACTAGAGAACAATTTAGAAGAAAAGTGGTAGCTATGGCTTCAAACAGTAGCTATGGTTTCATACACACGTGCATAATTTACACACAGGCCCATTGAAATTCATGGGACTATACAAATGCATGAAGCGACTCATGTAAGCATTTGCAGAAGTGAGAGCTAGGATCTTTCTTTTTTGTTCTTTATAGTATGGCACCACGGTTTGCATAGTTAACCTTGGTTAGTGGAAGTTAAGGATGCATGTACGTACCTCTGTGAAATCTGCCCTTCAAGAATTAGTTGGATTCTCTTGTGTTTTAAAGTGGAAACCCAGGAATGCTGAATTAAGGTTGCCCTGTCAAACGAGAACTCGAATCCTGAACTCTGGCCCTGTCAAGGAGTCACCCTACCATCTCTTCTTGCAGAGTATCACAAATTCGCACCCAGAACATTGCTTTTATTGTTTGCCTCAGGTATCTACACCGCTAGTCCTAAACCCCCATCTACCTAACTCTTCTACAGGCAGATTCCCATAAATGTGCAGAACAGCAAGCAGGATCTGGGCCTGGCCTTTGCTTTTTCTCCAGAGCTGCATGAATCCTGTGTATGGAGACATGCCATCTCTGTGGGTAATGGCCATTGTAACTGTAGGGTTCAGTTCTCTTTGTACAAAACATGGCAGGTTTAGGCCTGTAATACAAAGTGAGCAGTTATTGCCTTCAGTATGTTTTTTGCCAATCAGAAATTTGGGCAGAGGGAAGAATCCTGTATTTGTCTGACCATAAAGAGTACCGCAGAGTCCACCCACTACCCAGTACAGATTGTAGTAGTCTAGCTTTCCCAGTGTCACTGATGAAATGAAACTGTGGTGGACGGAGATAGTGGTGTGAGCGTATTTATTCAGATCATAACTCTTGGGGCAGGGTTAAGATTGCCTGGCATTCTTATTTCAGAAGCACAGCCTGAACTCTTAATAGCATTTGGATTTTGTTTGCAATTCTGACATTCTTGAACAGGGATGCTTGTTCTCCAAGGACACACCGGAAGGCTGGCAGGTCCAGTGCCTTAACCACAAGCCCATACTGCCTTTCAGAGGAGTTGAAATATATTTTTCCTATGTTTCAAGTGGTCATTTCCATATCCCTCTCCTTTGTTTCTGGAATTCTTGTGGTGGTGAGGCACACATGACACATCCTCAAACCATTTCCCCACTTGGGGCCTTCTCTCTGATTTCAGTAATATCTGTTGTTTAGATTCTGCTTGTCATGAGCTTATCTTGTTTCCACAGGACCTAGGACAGTGATTCATCCTAAAGCGCGAATCATTGCAGAAGCAGGACCAATCGTGATTGGTGAAGGCAACCTCATAGAAGAGCAGACACTGATCATAAATGGGTTAGTAAGAATCTTTATAATGCTGTTGGAGGCACTAATATTTCTGCTTAACACCATCACTGGTAGTCTCAGTGGGGGGCTCATGACTGAAAGAACATAGAAGATAGATTTTCTTTTAGAATGTGTCAGTCCAGAACTGGACAGTGCATGGGAAGCCTCTGCTTTGCCTCCCGGTGTGGTACCTGTTCTGACCTAAGCAGAGGCCTGGCTCCTCCAGGGCTGTCAAACTGACATCTCACACAAGGACTGCAATTTGCTTACCAGAAGTGGGGGTACTTCCCACAGCTGCACATACCATCTGGTCAGAACTGATTATAACCTTTGGGGACAGGAGAGAGCTGGCCTAGGTTTCAATACAGCATTTGACCCTACAACTCTCTCATCCCAGTACTGTTATCCAGCTCCTCAACTACAAGGTCATGTTTACATGGCCTGGGTTTATTTAAGGTGTGGCTGCTGGTCTAAACCCTTCCCGCTCCTCCTCCTCCCCCGAAAGAGAGAGAAACTTTCATCACCGTGTTAGAAACATGAATTATTTCCATTTGTGCTTATAGAATACATTTGTCGCTTTGCCTAAAAAATCGTCTCAGATTTTTCTGTCAGCTTCATGATAAAATTGGGAGATATGCCCTAAAAACCAGACTGTCACCCTTTTAAAAATAGCTGGCTTACAATGTTGTAGCATGTTCCTTAAGATTTGTGTAGCGTGTAGTTAGGGCCTGGGCATGAGCAGTTTTTGCCTTCATAGCAGTATTGGGGAGCAGCAGTCACACAGCAAAACTGGGGTCTATAAGTTGCCATTGCCTGTTTTCTGTTTCACTCTGAAATGGCCTCTCTGAAAAGCAGTATAAGGAGGGTAGGACTTAGGAAACAGCTCTTTTCATCCCTCTCTGTATTCTCAGTATTTCATCACTACTGAGATTCAAAAACTGACGTTGAGTTTGCTGTGTTCAATTTGAGGTTCACCTTGACCCCCGCTGCAGGCGTGCGGTCAAGAGAACATTTTACAAAACTCTCGAAGCTCATTAGAAATATTTCTATGATTATTAAAAGTTCCAGTTTTTACAGGTCTCCTTCAGACTAACTCCTTCCTCTGTTCTGCCTGCATCTTCAGCACTGCAGCAGCATTATGTGGGAATCTAGAAATTAAGCTGACTAGTCACTCTTCATTGTCGAGGCTGGGAGAAATGCACAAGTAAACAAACCATCATGTTTAGAAGTAAATGAGATTATTAAATCCTAAACATTTACACAATCATAAATGCTGTATTAATTTTAGGGAAGGAAGCTTCTTTTCTTTCACTTGATCTCTAAGGAGACACTCCCCTTTGAAATCAGATTCTAAATATATTCTTCAATCCTCTTGCAGATATCCTGAAAACATTACCCCAGACATGGAAGATGTGGAACCAAAACCAATGATCATTGGCACCTATAATGTTTTTGAAGTTGGCTGCTGTATCCTTGCTAAGCAGTGATGTAAATAACACTTGAACACGTTGGGCTTCTGTACTTTCAAAGCATTATACAAACGTTAACTAACAGTCATACCATTCCTGTGAGGTAGCTAAAGTTCATTCCCTTTTGGGGTGCGTCTAGACTACAAGCCTCTTTCGAAAGAGATCATCTAGACATCCACAAGACTTGCGAAAAAGCAATACACTATTTCAAAAGATTGCACCCAGGCAATCTGGGCACTCTCTTTTGAAAAAGCCCTGTTTGCATTCAAGAATGCCTTTTTTCGAAAGAGCTCTTTCGAAAAAAGGCGTTCTTCCTCGTAAAAGTAGGCTCACCAAATCGAAAAAAATGCCGCATTCTTTCGATTTAATTTCAAAAGAACGCAACGGCAGTCTAGATATGTGTGAAGTTTTTTTGAAAAAAGGCCACTTTTTTCGAAAAAACTCCATAGTCTAGATACACCCTTCCAGAAGTGAAAAATAGTCACAGAAGAGTCAAGTGACTTGCCCAAGATATCATAACAAGTCTGAGCAAACAAGAGTTAGAATTTGGGGCTTCAAAGTCCATTAGCACATCTGCCTATCTGGGACTTGTACCCAAGAGTTTTATTTATGTGCTGTGTAAGTCCTTGCATAGCTTTTTTACACCAGCTTGGGCACTAGAGAGAAGAATCATAAAGAAAACAAATATGTGCGTGGTATATTTGATGTAAGACACTAGTCGACTAGTGATGCGACTAGTCGCTTCCCCCACCCTTGCTGCCTCTATCAGAGAAATGCAGCAAGGCGGGGGGCAGGAACCGGTGCTGGGGGGAGCCAGCTTAAAAGCCGGTTCCCCTCAGCTCCCTCTCCTTGGGGGGTAGGGGAGGCAGAGGCACAGCGGAAACAGTGCGAGCAGGGACTGAAGCAGTCTCCACTCCTGCACTGCAATTCCGCTTTTGCAATTCCGCTTCTAAAGGAAGCTCTGCACTCCCGGTGGGGCTTCCGCTTTTTGAACTGAACCCTAACTCTTGCTACAGTTCAGAGGCAGAGGCACCCTTATAGACTAATGGAATAGTGGATAGAAACCCCATCCACTATTCAATTAGTTAATTAACCTGAATGGAACATCCCTGGTACGGGAGCCACAACCTCTCGTTTGCAGTGTTGAAGAACGTGGAGATAATTTTTGTTTAGTCAGCAGAGGGCGACTCTTGACGCTTCAGTTTGAAGCTCCAGTTAGTCGTTTGAAAACACGCATCTTTATATGAAATAACATGGCGCTTTAGGGCTTTCAGGACACAGGAAGCATGAAATCCCTTTCTGGATTCAATGTGACTAAAAAAAAAAGGTGAACCATTAAGCAGTAGTAATTTCCTAGGTTGTCAAACAGTAGGCCTTTCTGTGTGTCTTCTTGGAGTACAACAGCCATTAGCTTCTGCGTACTGCCTGAGCAACGAAAATTGGTATAGGACACATACCTTTGTGTCCATGAGCACCTTCTGTCATGGGTTAGGGGCTTATATTTGTTTTTGAAGGAGGGGATATTTGTTGCTGGGAGTTTGGGGAAAGGGAAATGCCTAAGGGCTTAGAATTATGTATTTCCTTTAACAGCTGTAACTTGTAGGTTCACAAGCGATGAAAATGGGAGATAACAATGTAATTGAATCGAAACACATACCTTTGTGTCCATGAGCACCTTCTGTCATGGGTTAGGGGCTTATATTTGTTTTTGAAGGAGGGGATATTTGTTGCTGGGAGTTTGGGGAAAGGGAAATGCCTAAGGGCTTAGAATTATGTATTTCCTTTAACAGCTGTAACTTGTAGGTTCACAAGCGATGAAAATGGGAGATAACAATGTAATTGAATCGAAAGGTAAG